TCATCATCATCATCTTCATCGTCATCATCTTCGTCAGCAGCAAGTTTTACTTTTTTCTGTGGAACCTTGCTTCCACCTCCAGGGGCAGATCGCTTTCCAGATATACTTAAGAGTTTCACGTCGTCTTCCTCTTCTTCTTCTGACTCTGCATCTTCCTCCACAGCTACTAAGTGCTGTCCACTAATATGCACAGGCCCTGAACCACACTTCAACCTTAAGACCACAGGTGGTGTTATTTCAAAGCCTCCAAGGGAAACTGTTGGCTGTACAGACATTTTCAGTGTTGCCAGTGTTACTTTAATTGGACTGCCTTCATAATTCATTACCTCTGCTTCAACAATGTGCAATTCATCCTTTGCACCAGCCCCTAAACTAACCGTTCTTAAAGATAACTGGTGTTCATTTTCATCATTATCCACTTTAAAGTGATAATCTTTGTCGGCCTTCAGTTCACAACCGAAAAGATAGTTCTGGGGCCTCAGGGGGCTCATGTCCATGTCCATCGAATCTTTCATGGGGTGGTGGCACGCACTTGGGTGGGCGAGAAGGCAGAGGGAGGTAAACGACTATGGCTACCAAAAACAGCCACGCAGGACGGAATCACTCCAGGGGGCAATTCATGTTTTACTTGCAATTCTCGCGATAACTTCAGGAAGTAGATAGTATGATTATATTCACTTCGTAGGTAAAGAAATCAAAACCCAGAGAAGCTAGGTCATGTGTTCCAAACTACCCAAATAACAAATGATGAGGCTGAAGTTCAGTTCCAGGTAGCCTGGTTCTGGTTAATGGTTAATGGTTAATGGTTATCAGGTCAAGGTAACACCTCTCATCCGGTTATTGATACTTTCCAATAAGATCACATGGGCCCGAGGGGCTAAAGAATTAAAATAAGCATTAAAAAATATTAACAGTTGGGTATACCGATATGCATGGTCTACAGAAATAATAAAAGCATCCAAATTCCATATTCCACATTAGCTGAAACTTCCTTACTACAGGTATGCTGTCAAATTCAAATTCTCTGAACATGATAGGGAGACTCTTATGTTAATGTGAATGGGAGCATGGAGGATGCATTAAATATGAAATCTATGCATCTTTTCCAAGGAGAAGTAGCAAATGCTTTTCGTTATGTACCCTATCCAACTCTTCAGTCCACAGCATTCAGTGCTAGGCTGGAGCTGACTCACACAGGAAGGTTCTGGGTTTACATCAGGAGACTTTCCTGAACACACCAGGCATGTGTGTGCCTACAGTCCAGGCTGGCTGAAGCTGCGGTTTGGGGACTTTGCTGGGAGTGCCCATCTCTCTTGCTTATGGGAGAAATAAAAAGAAAAAAAAATTAAGTGTTAGTGAATTAAAACAGAGAGAAGAGAGAGAGAGAGCAAGAACCCCTTTCTATTTCTTATTTAGAACTATTCTTATTTTTTTTGCTTTTATAATTTTGAATTCCAAAAATATAATCATTATTTATACAATGATTGACTAAACTTGTTTTAAGTTATGGAATTAATTGTTTTGTGCAGAGCTTTGAGGAATTCACTAATCATTACACATGTGGAGGACAAGAGACAAGCTACATATACAATGAACATGTGTATATCCACATAATACATAGTAGTCTTTTAAAAAAATCTTTCTTTCTTCCTTTTTTAAAAAAATTTTACCAGAAGGGGTATTTACTTGCCAGGGAGAAAGAGAGAGACAGAGAGAGAGGGAAAAAGTGAGAAAGCAATCCCCACAGAGAATGATCACATGGAAATCCGTTCTCGTTCATTTTCTCTCCTCTCTGGATTTTGGGTGTGCATGCACAGGCCCAGTGTGTTTTTCAAGCCACTGAGTCAAGGAGTTGGCAGTGTGGGATCTAAGGATCTTAACTACCATTCCAATGATGGCTGGTTGGTTCAATAATACCTATTCTAGCCAGAAGTCTAACAAAACATTACACAATGGCCAGTTTACATGATGTAAGCACACGGATGTGACACAATTTTAGGAACATTTGCATAGAAGACAAATGGAAATTGTGCCTTTAATTTCTAATGTCCAAGTTTTTAACCAAAATGTACATATGTATTATCAAAACAATCACTACTGAAATTTGACGGGGAAAAATGGAGCTTTTAAAGTGAATGCTTAAGTTCTATTCTGCTATTTTTCATCTGTGTTATATTTAATGTTTTCTTAGGTTTTACTAGTGTGTCTTAAATAAGAAATAAGTATACAATATGGTAATCTCTTAAGATCAAGGTGGGGAAAATAATCCCTGTGTTTTTCAAAATTCTAATCTGCAAAGAAGGGAAGTGCATTTTTAAAAATTGGTATTTAAAATTCTCTCCATCAGGGAACATTCTAGATCCTATAGACTTTACTACTGCATCTGTCAAACATACATTATCAAAACAAGAATTTGGGGAACCAACAGTTAGCATAATGGCTATGTCGCTGGATTCCCACGTAGTCGACAGCAGTTCGCTTCCCAGACCCGGTGGCTTAGGACTCACGCCGGGCGCGTGTGCATACGTGCCCAAGATCCCGAGAGGAGAATGGAGGAGAAGGGATTGTGGCGTGACCATCTCCCCTGGGGGGTAATTTCTTGCTTTCTGTCTCTATGTCTCTCTCTGTCTGTCTGGCGAGTGCATGCGACCTGTAGCGAAAACCTCTCAAAAAAAATCCCAAAAAACAAAAAACAGAAAAAGCAAAACAAACAAACAAACAAAAAAACGAAGAATTTGATTTTCTCATTTACCATTAAGTAGAAATATATCCAGTGAAACATAATATCTGTTTTCTTAACTAAGGGCCAGAAATCCCAACTGACTTCTGAATCCCAGTTTGGAATGAAGAAACACTGACCTGATTTGGCACTATTTTGATTTCTGAAGTTTAAACATAAAGGTTTGTATTCCCTGGTGACATCCTAGCTTTCAAAATTTATGCCCGACAGGACTTCTGCTTTTCTTAAAGTTAGAACATAAACAATTTATTCTGTCATGTTTATATGTCGCGCACGCGCGTGTGTGTGTGTGTGTGTATGTATTTTTGATATTTCCTGAACACAGTCTCACAGACTTGCAGGCACATACAACTATAATACTAGACCCATCAGGCTCAGAAGACAAGAGCCAAGGCTGCTTGACTTTCCTCCATCCCCTGAAGCTCACAGTCACTATCAGAGACTTGAAGAAAGCTGACCTCAGGGAGGCCCTCCAGCAGACCTTGGGCAAAGCTGCTTCCTGGCCTAGAGGTCAACTAGGCAAGCATAACGTGCCAGCCAACGCAGATTAGTCCGAATACAGTCCCCAAGCAAAGCATAAATGGCCCTTTCTGCAGGAGGGAAGAGGAGGGATGTTACTGAGCCCATAAATCCAGCTCATTTTTTCCAGGCATTCTCCAAATCCGTGTTCTCCTTTGCCTTCAGCTCCAAGAGGCCCAGAACTGAAGCCTTGGCTGGCGAAAGCACAGGTATCTGCCCACCTCAGCGTCCCCTCTTCTCTTCCTGTGTCTGGCGCACCCATTCGCCCAAGTGCAACTTTGAGTGGGTGCGGGACAAGCGAGGCAGGATGGCAGGGAAGACGCATGGCGAGAAAGCGCGCGTCGCACACGCACAGCCTGCCCCACTGGCGCGATGGGAAAGGGCGGGCTCCGGGACCAGGCAGTGGTGGGGAGAGGGCACCGGCCCGCCCCGGGGGGGCGCGGAGGGCGGAGCCACAGGCTGGTCCCAGGGTGCGCAGCTCCAGCGCGCGGGGAGGGCTCGCAAGCGTCCCAACCGTCCATCGTGCCACAGGCGAGTGTCCCGGACCCAGGACGCTGTCTCCACCCAGTCCGCGATCTCGTGGTCCGAAGGTGCGTCCGCACTCATGTCCCAGCGCAGGGAGCAGGAGGCGCTCGCAGCCAGCTGCCTG